GCAGGGCTTCCTACGGAGCTTCACAGAGCCTGGTGCTTCGCTCTGCGGTTGTAGGGGCAGCAAACTAAAATTCCTCAGAGAAGTTTTAGTCTGCTGTGCCCCAAGTCATTTAAGGCGCATTACACCACTGAATTTCCTACAGCGGCTGGAATTTATGTGCAATACACTGCCGAGGCGTGCAAGCACCGACGCCATTAAAGCAGTGCAAAGGCATTTAGCCCGCTTTAAAGTGTTGTGCACACGCCCCTCATTTCATCTACACGCAGCCTATCTCTGTTGTTAAAGACTGAAAGCTAAAATACAGGAGGTTTTATTATTTACTTCAGTGGGTTCAGGACTTGCCCAGAGAGAGAAGGAGCTACCAAAAGATGTGCTGAACTATATGCTGCTATTTCTATTCTATTCTATTTTTTTGCTCTGGTTGGTAACAGATTCAATGTATCTACACAATGCTCTCTAGATCCCATAAACAGATTAAAAGTAGTATCTTCCATAAATTGAAAGGTTGCATTCGCACATTGCTCCCAGTGTCCCATTTTTTTCTTGAGAAGCATGGGGTAATTCAGTTTATCAGATCAGGTCCATGTTTTCAAACCTGGCTGCCTAGCATACCTAAACTGGTTTTCCTTTATTTAAATTTTATGTAAGAACCCAGGTGAGAGACTTGATTTTTTCCAAGGTGCTCATTGCTCTCAGCTGCCATCTACTTAGTTGAGCTAGGGATTACACAGCACTTAAGGTACATGCATCTACATGTGCATTTTAATGCACATTGAAGTCACAAAAACCATGCGCTTTTGCTGATGAGGTACTAAAATTAATGCACATTAGCAAAAGCACATTAGTGGAAGTGTAGACGTGCCCTTAGGCAGCTAAGTGACAACATTTTAGATGCAAACTGGAAAATGCCATGCTTATTCATTAAATAATTATAAAACTTCAAATTGTTCCTTTTGAGATAATTTACAGCCTACGGGTTTGATGCTGTGAGGTCAAGATTCAAATGCTTAGCAACCTGTAAGACCTCAGTTTTTGACACTTCATTGGAAATAAACCAGGGCGTAGGCAAGAAAGATGTATTAAGACCACAGATCTGCGTAAAGAGCAATTATTATAAGACTCAGTAGCTACCCTAGGAGAATAATGGCATTCAGCTCAAGCTAGCTCAGCTAGTGGACAAGAATTAAGGATCATTTCAATAGTTTCTTGATGTTATTACTCATGTAACTCACTCTGGAATGCTAATGCAGAGGAAACAAGAAAATGAGAAAAGCACTTTGCAATATTTGAACCCCTTCATGAATTTTTTTTCTTAAAATTGATCTGTTAAATTGTGTGGTTCTAATAAATGCTACCACTATGGTTCTTTACACAAACCCCGCCCCCCCACCTTTTTTGTTCAGACAAGGTATTTTATTCAAATGGGTTATAATATGGTGCTAATGTTCAAACGTTTGTTTTTCAGATATATGTCCGAACAGGTATCTATCATGGAGGTGAACCATTATGTGACAATGTGAATACTCAAAGGGTACCTTGTTCCAATCCTAGGTAACTAACAACACTTTACTGAATTTTACATAGAAAAATAGTTCCTAACTACTTTGCGCCATCATAGCCACAGTCTCTGGCTGACTGTTATTAATGTAAGAGTAGATTCTGCTTCTTGAGCAAGTAGCTTCCTTGTCTCTAAAAAGATACTGAAGCTTGTTTCTCATGAGCGACTAAGTAACTAATCATTGAATTTTACATAAGCTGTTCATTTCCAGTAATAAATTGTTTGAATTAGATTAAGTTAGAAATTACAAACTTGCATTGCAGCTCATAAGTTTTTACGTGACGCTAGCAACTTTTAACTCAACAGATTTGCTTCCCTTTGTGTGTTCAGTTCCGTATGTGTCCACAAAGACACTTGCTGCTTGGTTTACAATACAGAACAAGCACAGAGATATGGAAGACTGGACTTGTGAGTTGCTAGCAGTGTCCCCACTGCAGGTTCAAATTCTGCTCTCTGTATGAAGCAGTGCAGTGTGCCGTATGTAAAATTTGTGTTAGTGGGGTTGTATAACTATATAGCAAAAGCACTGCTTACTTTTTCCCTATTACTGGCCCACATACGATAAACCTTGCTGACTTTCAGATTCACAGTATGTTTGCAGGGCCACCAGCTTGACAAATATTTAGGTGTCCTACTTGTATTGAACTTAGCACAGTTAGGTCATGCCTTTGCCTGGGTCTCCAAGATACCACCACAATACAAATAACTTATACTGTGGGAAACTTTGATTTCCTTCCACCCCCCCCACTTAGAGATAATATATGTGGAACCAACATCGCACCCTCTTACAGAATCGCTTTTCAGAGTAAAACCACAGTACTGTTGTACAGAATCATCCTTCTGCGTAAAACCACATTATGCTTTTTTGCAGAATCAGCTTTCAGAGTAAAGCCACAATTGGAGTGTCAGTCTTTTTTCACAAACAACATAGTGGTTTGTGATTTAATCAGATTGATTAATGTCCACCAGTGAGAGACAAAAAAGGAGGAAGTGCTGTTAAGTTCTTGGGACGGATGCAAGACTGAAATCAAGGTGCATCTAGAATATGCAGAGTATACAGAAAGCTTTAAAAATGTTGTAACAAGTCCTATTAAAAGAAGAGTTGTATGAAAGAGAAGTGAAAATATAAAAATAAAACTAGAGGACATGCACTGTGGCCCATGTAAAGCAGGCTGTTGAAGCATGGCAGAGATGTGAAAGCAGTTAATAACATGGAAAGGAATGTCAGAGAGGACAGAAACCTAAATAAACCTGAACTATCCTGGTTTGGATCTACAAATACCAGGTAAATGTAAATGGACGTCCCATAAATGCAGAGTCTGAAAACAAAGAACCTGATCTCTAAAAAGATGTTAAGTGTCTGCACCACTCTCCATATCTTTAAATTAAAAGCCTCAGCATGGCCGAAATCAGACCCAAAAGATATTTTGTCAGATAACTCCTAATCATTTCGTCTGTGACAGCCGGTCTTTAAAAGCTTTTTTGATGGTAATAACATTTTACCTTAGACAACTATGGTATTCTCCAAGTTTATTATTACTATTACTATATAATATTACTGAATATTATATAGTTAATAGGCCTAAAGGAATGTGTTACTGAAAAATAATTTCTCCTTTCAAGTAATAGTGATTCAGTTTAATTGTAGAGTTTAGGGTTGTTGGGTTTTTTTTCCGTATGTGGATGTTATAGAGGAAAAGACCCTTTGGGGAATAATGAAAATCTTGGTGTAGAACATTATTGTACTCATTGCAGCTCTGCATTATATAAAGAAAGTTACTTTGTCACGGTTCTAAGGCCGTTGTCATCCACCACTTGTTTTGGCACTGAGCAAACTGAATACAGTTACCTGGCTGTAGATTAGGCATAAACTGTACAGATTAATGTGAATCCAAAATGTCTGGGGACCTAATTTTGGTTGGTAAGCAAGTATTGTTCTTAGACCATCTCAGGCTCCTCTTCCTTGTCGCAGCCTGTTCATACTGGCCCACTTTTTATTTGAGACTTCCTCAAATGTGTTCAGCTGTGTAGCTCTCCAGACCTCCTAATGACACTGCAAGATAGCCATACTTTTCCTTCCCCTGATAGTTCAGTACTATGTCTTATAGTAAAGCCACCTGCTTCTGATCCAGCTATTCTGGGAGAAGATGTTGGCTGCCAACTACAGTGTTTATAGCTGTGTCAGGAGTTTTATAGTTCTGTATTGACTGCATCATGAAATCACCTACAGGGCCTTGGGAATCTTTTCAGTTGCGCTATGGGTAAGGGCTGTCCAAGTAGCAGTCCACGAGAAGTTAAATCGTGGCCTGTGGGGCTTATCAGTGCAGTTGCTGGAGCCACTGGATTGATACAGTTCTGGAACCCAGGGGGTGAATATTGCCTCTACTTGCTTGCTAACACATTCAGGGTCTTCAGTTGCCACTGGTGACTCAAACTGGAAGCAGGGTGAAAAAGGATGAGCAGTGGCGGTGGTCACTGCCTAGCTTCCAGAGTTGTATAGGTACTGCCACAGCAATCAGCTGCTGTCCCACTGTTGGTGGTGGACCTTCTGGCCCACAGCCAAATAAATGGGACAGCCTTGCTATATAGATCATCTCCATCTTGCACTAGGTGCAACTTGCAGCATGTTTTCCAAACTAGAAAACACTATGTGAATAGAAATAAAGGGTGACCTATATCTGCCAGTCTCCTACCCATATGGTTGGCAACACTTACTGTGAGCTTGATGGTGGGTCACACTTTTATGTCTTCTGATTGAGCTCTCATTTTACAAGAGAGTGTCCATGTCCCTTTCTTGAGCTTAGCTGTGTGCCCAGGACTATACTGCCATGTTGGCACTGGCTATTTCTGTGCCCTCCATGAAGGTGACACCCAGGTCTTCTGCCTTAGTCCTGTTTCCCTTTATCAGCCAGGTGTGTTGCTGCCTCAGTTAGTCTCTTCTAGAGCAGCCTCATCCAACCAATAGAAGAAACTAAGTGTAGCACAACGCAAGAACTACAATACGGATTGCCTGTTATCACACTGGTCCAGTTTCAGTGGCCCTGCTGAGTAAATTATATAAAAGGTGAAAAGTTCTGTTGCCTTGGGAAAACTAACAGCTTCTCTTTTAAGGGTAAATCCAAAAAATAGGTTCTCTGTAGATGTTAAAGGAGCCTTATTGATGCATCTTAAGCTTTTCAGATCACTGTTGGCTTTTGAAATACTTCTGTTGGGCATTGGCTGTGCTCAAGGAAATACTGACAAGCTAAAACAGTCTTTGCTGGTGGCTTCTTCAAACAGGAAATTTAGCTTGGCAACCCCAGTAAGGAAAATAAATGCATCTGGCTATTACCCTACTAAAGCACCATTTTATCAGATGATAGATTTAAGCTGTTTAAAGAAGTATTTAAAAATAGTACACTGCAGTTCTGTAGAGTCAAATTTTTCCTGTGTCAAGATTGTGTAAATTAGAAATAACTCATGTAATTTCAGTATAGTAGCTCCAGAATTAGTATTCACAGCTGAGAGCAAAATACAGGTCCACTTAGTTATACCAACCAATATAAAATCTTGTTTGAACTACCCAAGATTGTGATAATTGCAATCAGTTGGTGACAGAATGCCAGAAACTGGCTTAATCTGTGGGATTAAGTAATGTTTGAGGAGCTGTTGAAGTGAAAACATGTACTTTGACTTGTAGAAAATGATAGTCTATTAAAGCTGCCACTGCTTTTTAAAATAGATTATTTGAAGACACCTTTTTTCACTTATCAAAGTTATAAAAATCATTATATCACTAGTTACAATGCAGTCATTGAAATAGATAGCAATTATACTGCAGACTTTTATCTGACTTGCATTGACTGAGACCTTGCATGCTGCAGTCATCTCTAGTTCTGTTGTTAATTGCTTCCTGTTCCGTTTACTGATGGACTTTTTAATAGAACCACAATTAATGTAGCTGGACAATTATTTGGAAAATATCCAAAAGCTGCTAGGAAACTGCTCTTGTTTTCACACTGTACAAATAGTCACTTTGCTGACATTTAGAAAATATACCATATGCCAAATGTATAGGGAAATTACATTTTTTTAAGGTTTTACCACGCTGAGGAAAAAGGAAATATATATTTAGGGTAACTACACGTGAAGTTAATCATCTTCCGTATGAGAATTTCATTTAATTGACTTTCATTTTAGAATTTATAACTTCAAAAGCTTTGCATTCTTATTTCATTCTATATGGAGTAATACTTTCTCTACAGTTCTGTATAGCTACAAAAGGCTTTCTTATGTTGAATACCAGCTGTTTACACTTCAGTTATTTTACCAGCAGACTGAGATTTTTTTGTGGATTGGAGTCTATAAAAACTGGTTACCAGTGTGATTTCACTATAAAAAGATGCAAAAATGACAAGTCTGCAAAATGTAACTGAATTTTGTGAACAAACCTGTTGATGCTTTAGAAGAAAGAAAATCTTGGTCACATTCTCTGAATAGTGCTGGCTGTACAGAGTTAACTAGACTTTATAAAGAAAACAGCTTTTGGGTCCCTAAGTCGGCAGATGTGACTGAATGCATACAACAAACTTTCTTCGGGAAGAAGGTGCCATTTTTATGTACCGTATTTACGACATTCTAAAATGGGGGTATTTTTCCCTAATGCAACATGGGAGAAATGAGTACAAAGCGACAGAGGCACCTGCTGTAGCTGCTGCCTACACCCTCCTACCCCACACCCCCTCCATGGGGGAAGGAAGGGGGTCGTCTTAAATTCAGGGTTGTCTTGGATTCTGGTAAATACGGCAGTTGTATTCCAAGGTGCATCTTGGAACACAAGATATCTAAAGGTAGCGTTGTCAAACACATAGCCCATGGGCCAGATCTGACCCTTTGAACCATGTAATCCTGCCTGTGGGCTGCAGACTAACCCTGCTGACTGCAAGCAGTTTGTAGAGCTAGTCTGGTACACGGGCTGGACCCATGCACTGCACATGGCACGGGGAGCTGGCAACAAGGCACAAACTGTATGTTGTGCCCCACCGGCCTGTGCTCTGGTTGCAGGGCTGGTCCAAGCCATGCCAGGGCCAGCACAGAGGGCTGAGCTGGTGCAGCATGCCAGTCCTTGTGCTGCATTCTGTGCATATGGCTGGTCGAGCCTGTGTGCTGCAGGCAGTATGTGCTTCCCCTGCTCTGGGGCTTGCACTATAGGCAGTGTACAGGCTGGACCCAATGCTGCATACTGAATACGGGGCTGAGAGAGGGTGCAAGCTGCATGCGGCATCCTGTTGAACCAACCCTGTGTGCTTGCTCTGGTACACGTGGATGGCCTGGGGCCCAATCCAGATCAGCGCCTAGAGCCAGTGTACAGGGCCAGTCCAGCAGGGTACCACATGCAGCATACACACCTTGCTGGCACCCTGCAGCTCCTGCAGGATTGGTTCCAGCCTGTGCACTCTGCAGTGCAAGCTTCATTGCAGGCCCGGCACACTGCATGGGGCTCAGGGGGCCAGCGCAGGGCACATGCTGCATGCGGCGCTGCAGGCCCTGATGTGGCCTGATCCAACCTGGAGACCAACTCAGCAGTCCTCGTATGGCCCATATAGCTGGGTGAGTTTGACACCACTGTTTGAAGGACTTTGGAGGGAATAACAAACCTAGGTTTTCTTTCTAGGTTTTCATTTTTGACTGTTTATTAAGTGTTCTTTATTACCTAAGTTTGCTTTAACTTGTTTTTTTATTTTTATTTTTAAATGCCACAGATGGAATGAATGGCTGTCATACGACATGTTCATTCTTGAACTCCCACGTGCTGCTCGGCTTTGCCTCTCCATCTGCTCTGTTAAAGGCAGAAAGGGTGCGAAAGAGGTAAAATGTTTCAGAGTTTCAGTATACTGTCAGATAAAACTCCAGGCAACAAAGCTTGGAAAGAAGCCTTGGTTAACACTTAAATGAAATGTAATCTAATCAAAATTGATTTGTGTTTGATTAAAATATCACTTAACATACAGTAACTTTTGGTCAGTCATGAAAATTGAGAGAAATTGTTTTTATGACTAGAAATATTTTTTCTGTTCGGTTTTGTTTTGTGTTGTTTATTAATGAAAATCTGTTTCTCTATAAGTTGTGGTCTTTATTGCTGTCCAAAAAGACTTGGGTTCTTAAATCCATAGCTTTTAAAATCTGTGCTGCTAGGTTTTTGGGGGAATTTTGTTTATTTAAGAATTTGTGTGGATTTATGAGCCTAATCTTAGACACAAGTATAATAACGACCAACATTTTTAATTGTTGCACTGGCACGATGAGGTATGTTTTTACACAAAAACCTCATGTAAAACTTGAAGTCTTTTGTCACTTGAAGAGGAAAATCTTTATTAAAGGTAACTAGTTAGACTTAATTCTCTGAAATGATTGTTGGAACAACTGATGATGAAAGTTGGGTATTATGGTAAAGATAGGTAAAAGGAAAGCGGAGACAGGGTTGAAGAGACACAGGAGAAATGTGGTATAACTTTTCATAATTTGCTCTGCTAATTTGCATATTTGTATAGATGCACCGGAAAAGTGATCTCTCTCCACTCGACAATAGACATTTAACATTGGTGCTATAGTTATGTCTCATGACACTAGCTTAAAATGCATTCTGTTTATGTATTTTTATAAATTTTCACAACTTAATTCAACAAACTGAGTTTAATTTAACTTACATGATTCTAATCCCTGTTTAAGAGTATGTTTTCTATCTTTGATAACTTAGACAATTGACTAATGCATATGATGTCAATGGATAATAGTAAGATTCTTTACTCCCTTGTTTTCCTGAATCCAAATTTTTCTGAAAAATTGATGCAAAAGTTGTTTGAATATGCATGTTCCTTTCATTGACTTGTACTGTTTTCTGGTTTTGTGAATGGAATTTAAGGCAGAAAAATAAGCAAATCAAAAATGCAGGAAGAATAGTTGTTGCTAACTTCAGGCTTCCCCTAGTGCCCAGGTCCAGCCCTCCAGGCACTTTTTATCTGGCCCACAACACCCACCAACAAATTGTACCCTGCCTAGCCCTTCTGCGCATGAGGGTGGGAGCGAGGTGTCCATATATGCGCATGCCCCCAACATACTGAATTGCGCCTCGCTCCCACCTTTGTGGGTGGAAGGGCCTGACCCAGTGTGGCCAGCCACCAGGGACCTGCTCTGCCCTGCCCAGGCTGGGCAGCATCTACCCCAGCCCCACTCCCTCACTGTGAGGGGCCTTGATCTGCTCCCCCTCCCCATGTACCTTCCCCCACAACAGACTTACCAGCTGCACCCAACTGCTCTCCACACTGCTGGGCTACACTCCTGGCCACCTGCATGGTGCACTGCAGCTGCGCACATGCACAAGGCTGATGCCACATTGCTGATGCTCTCAATTTTCCTTATATCAGTACTGATCCAATATCAGTGTATCTGTGCACCTCTAATACACACACACTCCCAAACCTCCCCATACCCTACCATACACACTTGCTCGCACACACATGCATACATATGTGCGCGCACACACACACACACACACACACACACACACAAAATATATAAGACTTAAGACTTTATTTTTGAGTTATTATGCAGTCACCTCTATATACATTAAACAAACACAAATCATGACAAAAATAGTTTTTTGTAATAAAATTAAAATATGTTATAGCAAGTGTTTGACTTTTTAGTGTATGATTTTGGGGGGTTTTCTGGTTCTAAGATGGCAGCCCCCCTTCCCAAAAGCATTATTTCTGGGGGGCAGGGGGAGAGACTTCTGGTGACAAAGGTCAGGAGTTTGGGGTGGGACTTCCAGTCCCAAGATGGCAACCAGGGGGCAGGGCAGCTGTCAAGGGGCAGTGCTCCTCATGCAGCCCTCGAAAGCTCACTAAACCTTGTTAAGCAGCCCTCCACCTGAAATAATTGCCTCCTCCTGCCCTAGTGTCAATATATACAACAGAAATAGGGCTGTTTTGTTTTGTTAATGTACCATATAATTGTGCCATTCCACATTTCATTTTTTTTCTGAAGATCTATTTTTTCCTCCTCTGATTCTTTTGAAATTTGTGACTGTACCATAATGCATTAGTTACTAGATGAGACTGAAGAGTGATCATTTGATCTCTTTAAGGAACATTGCCCACTGGCTTGGGGAAATATAAACATGTTTGATTATACGCACACCCTTGTATCTGGGAAAATGGCTTTGAATCTGTGGCCAGTACCTCATGGGCTAGAAGATCTGCTGAATCCTATTGGCGTTACTGGGTCAAATCCAAACAAGGTATTTTGCGTGTTACTTTACGTGTTTAATTTCAGCGTTGTTTACAAATACTGAGTCCATAAGATTGTTCTCTAATTCGGTGTCTTTCTGCTGAGCACCTGACGGTAGTGAAAATTCTTTATTTTTCAGGAAACTCCATGTCTGGAGCTGGAATTTGATTGGTTTAGCAGTCCTGTAAAGTTTCCAGACATGACAGTGATTGAAGAACATGCCAACTGGGCTATCGCTCGAGAACTAGGGTGTAATTACAGCCATGCAGGGCTGGTAAGAAGAACTTATTTTCCAGACTTAGCTGCTACACATCTTAAGATTTTAATATTTTGAAGTACTTGAATGGTGAAGAGCAAAGCTTTTACATTTGAGTTTGAAATCTCAACACACACACACACATGCGCACACACACATCACGCTTATCAAATTTGTGTTGTTAAACATCAGACAAGAAGCTGACAAGAGGTTCTGTCTCTTGCAGCGAACTATGTACGCTGCACTGATCAACCAAAACCTTTTACGGGTAAAACTGTCTTACGCTGCAAACAGTTTGGGACTTTTTGAGGCTTACTTTAAGCAGCTTGTCTGGATGTCTGGACTTGAGGTTAATTTTGCAAAAAGTAATACAATTAAGTTCTTCATCAATGGCATTTTTTTAGTTCTGTCCTCCTGTCACAGTTTGGTCTCTGTTGTAGATAGACACTGTAAAATCTGCCTTTTCAATCTAAATGTGCTTGTAATCCTTTAGTTTCTTCTGCAAAACCAATCTTTTACCCTTTTGCTTTTTAGTAGCAAGTTGGCTTGTTTGTTTCACCATTTCTTGACTATTAATAGTAAGAACAGAAGCATTCTTATAAGCAGAGCCCCATTTATTCTGTGATTCCGTGGCCTTAAATTTACCACCAGATCTGTCCTTTGCTGCATGCTTGCACTGTAGGCTCTGAGTTTCCTTTTAATTACATTTCTAATCCTAGAAAACGTGAAGAAACTCTTAAATATGCATGAAAAATGATTGTGTTCTTTCTGAAACACTTTTCCATTCAGTTCAATGGACTGTTGGTTCTGATTAATAAAATGACCACTTAGGTTCAGCTTATCGCAGAGTGCGTGGGGCTGAGTAGAACTGCATTCTACATAACAGATTTTTTTAACCCTAAACTGGTTACCAGCTGGGCTGTTTCTTGCTTATGTAAAGTATACCTAACTCTCCACTGTATGGAACAATAGAATTAACTAATTACTATAATCCCATACTAGCAAGAATTCTTACTAGGCCCCCCTATGTTTCCTTCCAAAAACCTTTTGTTTTGTTTTTACAAACAAATAATCTATACTCACTTTGGTGTGCATGACATACCCAAGTTTGTGTCAGTTCATTTCCGTAATGCTTTTAAAATGTCCCAGTCCTGCAGACATCACTTTGAGGTTGAGAGTTCACTGCTGGATAAGTTTGTAGGTCAGGCCTTTAATGGCCTCTTACAATTCTATT